TTTCACATTTTTATAGAGCCGAGTGGTTGTGAGGGGTGTACAGAAAGCTGAGTTTTATAAAGCCCAGTGGGGGCAATATGACTAATAGTTGACTTTGCTGAGAGGGAAAAGAAGAGCAAGAGAGATTAAGTGGTAGAGAGGATTAACAGAGCCAAGAACATAAGCAGGAACAAGGCAAACAGGCAGAGATATGATGGTTGGAGAAGGTTTGGATACAATGAAGAACCAGCCTCTGTGGACGGAGCAGACATGGCGGGGAAATAAAGGCAGCAAAGGGGACTGCCTGGCTAGGAGAGTTTGCCATTAGAGATAATAGTGTGTGTGTGAGAGAGATGGCTGGTGGCTTTTTGCAGACATACTTATAGCGGCGTATGTGGGAGGGAATGAGAGATAGAGGCCAGTGCAGCTGAGTGGTGTTGATTGGCCTGTTTGAAAACACATGAACTGCAGACGGTGAGGGAGAGAAGCCCTGTGCGCTGGGATAAAGTGTCGCTCTGCGCCGTGCCACGCTGCAGCCCAAACCACATTAGAGCAAATGAATCCATTCCACCTCCTGTTATGGCAGCTCCCACTTGGGGCCCTGGGAAGAAGAAGAAGGAGGAGGAGAAGGAGGAGGGGGTTGTGAGAGTGGCAGGAGTGTTGAGATATGAGGGATGAGGAGAGGAAAATGATCGAACAGAAAATGGAAGGTTGTGTTAGGGAAGTCGCATGCTGGGTGGGTCTAATGATGTCTGAGAGCTGCAGAGGGGAAGAGCATAAAGCACACAGAGAGGTAGAAATGGTCGGGGGGGAGGTTTGCTTGGGGGGGTCTCTGCTCTGGAGGAGAGAGGATTTTTTTTTTTGACCTGAGAGCAGGAGAGATAGTTTTCTTCTTTCCTTAATAAAATTGATATCAAGCCAAACCTGGCAACACAAATTGCAGCAATCTCCTTAACACTTTAGTTACCATAACCAAAGTTTCAGCAGAGGGCATGAGCAAAAACAATATTCATTTCAACTCGGTGTCCTGAGTCTCTTCATGCATTGAATCTTTTTCCCTATCAATGTTTTTTTAAACTCAACCATAAACCTCTAAAACGGCATCAAAAGGTTGAAAAATATAATCACGTTATGTTACCCTTCAAACACAGATTCAGTCTGGTTATTTAACACAGGGATCGTTCTCTATCAGTCAGGGTATTTTAACCTTAAACTAATCCCATGACATGAAGTTATTAATTGCTTATATAATATTGAACAACTCATTTTTATTGATAAAGACTTTGAATGATCCATAAATCAGACAAAGGATATGGTTATTTGAAGGAAACAATTTGGAAGAACATTTTAGAAAACCTTCAACTTGTTTGCTTCAAACAGGCCCAGGATGGGCCCAACTGTAGGTGGGGGGACATTTATTAGTTTGCTATTCATTATAAATCCAGCAATCAGAGTATTCAAAGGTCCGTGTAAACCACAGAGTGTTTCTATGTCCTGCCAATATTGTTTTAGATGATCCAGGTTTATCTTTAAAAACAAGAAAAACAGCAATATCCGTTCTTTTAATGTCTGCATAAGTTAAAAAATGCAATTTAGTAAGCAAAAAAATAAAAAATCACAGTTCAACAGATGTGTCCTTCTCTGCATCACTATCTGGGAATAGAATAGAATGCAGGAAGGAGATTTGATTTAATAAAACTAAGAATAAAAGCATTTCTGGTTTAAAAGATTAATATCAGTACAAGTTTTTGGGTTTACCTGTAAATGTAATATTTTATAATATTATTCATCTTTTCAAGGTTATTTTAAAACAAATTACTGACTGAGCGTCTGATGGAGGGAGAGTAGTCTGTGTCACACATCTCTGTTGCACTTTAACAGAATTTCATGAAGTAACCTTTCCGTCGTTCTCATTTTTATTGCTTTGACAACATGTATGCTACAGTAACCACCTGACTCTGCCCTCACTGATGTCTGTCAGGACCTCAAGCATCAACATGTCCATATAACCCTCAGTGAATGATCACTTTCATGCAGCACATTGCGCCTGACAAATGTGCCAGTCATTTGTCTGAAATGAGAACTCGCTCACGCTGTGTGTGATCATGTATTAAGTGTGTGTGTGTGCATGTGCAACGAGGAGCTAATTCCAACTCTCTTTGTGTTTTCCTTCGTCTCCTTTCCGCGTGGAGCCCGTTCCTGCTCGCTCCCCCCTTGCCTCCATACTCAAGCGCCTTCGATATCACTGTGCTTTTGTTTCAGCCTGCCAAGTCCCCACACTGCTTCCCCAGCTTGTTTTGCTTAGAAAAAGAGATGTAGGGAGGGAGGAAAAGAAAGACAGCAAGAGGAGGAGACAGACGCCTCCTCGGATGTTGGTGTTACATGTGGCTTGTTACTCCCCTCTGATTCACAGCTGCTTCCTCCCTCTGTTGTTTGAAGGGAAGGTTGTAAAGTGCGCTTCATGACTAAATGTGTCATCTTTTGCTTTGCATCTATGTACCTTGCTGTAATAAATGTTTCATTTTGTAATATTGATTTTAACATTTGACCCCTAACAGATTTCTTCCGTTTTTTGATGTGAAAATGTTTAAATTCCAAAGATAAAAACAATTATTACCTTAAGAGGACATAAACCAACAGACCAACTTTATCCTACATGCAAACATACACACAATAATAGTTCAATAGTTTTATTGAACCTTTCTAGTACATTGGTTAGGCTGAGCTGACAAGTTTCAAATAGGAACACATCCTGTCCTAATCTGAAGGAATTAAAACCATATAGGAAACAGAGTCAATGACTTCCATTAGTTTTTAAAGGGTTTATAAGATTTACAAAGAGATTCAGTATTTAAAGTATGTGGACAGAGAAAACAGGGAACAGTGAGGAGCATTCCCAATGATGCTTGGCCTACTAAAATTACTCCAAGAGTGCATCAGCAACTCATCCAGAAAATCAGTAAAACCCAAAACATCTTAAATCTGCAGAACTCTCTCGGCTCGGTTAAATGCAATGCTTTAAATGGATTTTACTGAGATGCTTTTAAATTACCTTAAAGTCCATTGTATCATGAAAACTCTCCAGTTAGGCTGTATTAAAAACAATCTTGTAAACATTGTCGAACAAAAACCCTACAGTTTGATTTTAACACTCATGCAGCTTTTTGGGGAATTTACTTCTCCACATATAGTCATGTAAGCCTGGACACATTTGATCTTTGATAAACATATTAATATCAAAACTGTATTTTTTTTTAAATCTGCTCTGGAACATTAAAGTGTCACAAAAAAAGGCAAAAATAAAAGACGGAAAGCTTAAAAAAAGGTTTTTTTTCCTATCTTTTTGATGTGTAAGGAATAGCTTTGTTGTGATGTTCAAACAACAGTGTGAGAAAAAATCAATTATTACATCTTAGCAAATGCTGCTCATAGGCTGTAGTGAACCTGCTGAAAATTAAATTTAACAAAAGTTGTTTGCAATCAGGAGCAATTGGTTGCGCAAGGCATTTTTGAACAGGGGTGTGGAGCTGCAGCGTCTTATCACTAAGGACACTTCTGGTTGATTTACTTCTCACCTAATTTACAACGCCTGGCCGGCCATTTCAACCTCAATACTCTTCCTTTCAAAACCAAAGATTGTGTTTTCATTGACTAACAAAGGTGCTACATGTTTACATCAGAGGTGAGATAAATGTGCAAGAAAAAAACAAAAAAAAAACAGAAGAACTTGTTCTTAACAGGAACATGCCATCTGAGTTTTTTTTAGTTTTGGGACAGGAGGGTGTGGAGCTGTAGGAGAACCAGTTAATCAATTGCTACATGGTCAGATGGCCAGCGCTGGGCTGGGGCGTGCTTTGCAGAACCGCCTGGGTTCTAGAAAGGATTTGTAGCACTTGTCAAAGGCTTTAGGGGAGCCCTTTCTGGACATCTTGCTGCAGGTGGAGTGTGTTAAAAGCTGGTTAATAGCAGGAGAGGGAGACATCTGCTGGACACTGGCTGGTATGGCAGCTCAATCAAAATAGGCCATCCAATGTTATGGTTGTGTTATGTGCTGTTAGACCCAGGAGAAGGCAATTTTAGCTGTTTTCATAAACACCATTCCGTGTAAGCTGATAAGTATATGTCTTCTGACAACATTTTTACTCAAGAACTCCTCTTTATTCATGCAAGCAGCGTGCTTAAGTGCACTCTAGGTAATTCCACTCAGGTATTACTCAAATCTGAGAGGATTAGTAAGACAGTCTCATTCTCAAAGTGTTTCTTTGAAGTTTTCCACCTTTCTGCTGTTATTAAAGTAAAGAATTCAAGCTTTTGAGTTCACAAGCTCTTAAATGTGTGTGAGAGAGTTAAACGCTGTGCATTTATGCAGCAGTCAATCAAAGATAAGCACTCCAGACTGAAATGAAAACTCCCTGACTGAGCGCCATGCCTCTGTTGTGTTGGTTTCACTCGGTGGGGAATCTTGGGGGACCCTTTATCAGTGCCTAGCAGCTTTCTGGAGCCCCGCCCCCCCACCTGTGGTTCCTCAGTTGGTCTTTTGTGTGAAGGAATGTGGGAAGGACCAACACCGATGGAGATAAACAGAAAGGGATGGCTAGTGGCCGTTGATGAACCAGCACGATAGCTATTAATCCCAACTCAATCCACCGCTGTGAGACGGTCGAGGTCGCAGAATATGGGATCGTTGTTTATCACTGAAGGATCTGAATGGAATATTAGGGTAACCTGTGGTTCCTATGCTTTCAGATAAAAAACAAAACAAAACATGGAAACCTATGCAATTTTATTTAAATGGTGTCTAATATTGGAATATGGGGAAAAAAAAGAGATGATTGAAAATGTATTATACCTTGTCTGATTGGTCTAAAAGGCGGCATTTGTTCATCGTTCAAGTTGTAAACGGGAACTCTTTTTTTTCAGTTCAAGTACCTGAAATATTGTTTTCACCTGCAGGCTTAAGCCCTCTTAGTCAAAGGTCCTGTTAGTTCTAACAGATGTACATTTTCTATTCTTTTTTGCAGAATAAGAAAAAAACAAACAAACCAGCTTTTAATGGAGTCCTGGTAGAGACATCAAGATGAACACATTACCATCAATGGACCGGCATATCCAGCAGACCAATGACAGGCTGCAGTGCATCAAACAGGTGGGTATTAAATAAAACCCTTTCTTTAGTTTCCTTTACTTCTCTTCAGACATGGATTCCCAGTGGTCTGAGAAAAGAAGAAAAAAAAAATCCAGCCTTACTTTCTCCTCTCAGCACCTTATTTAGGCATCAGTGTGTCTGGGGCCCTAGCTTCAGTCGCACAGATCATGTTGCAAAGGGTCACAGAGGGAGGCAAATCTGCCTATGAACATAAGAGCAGACTTCAAAGCTGCATAACAGACTCAACGTTTCTCTCTCTCCTTGTGCTGTGTTCTCTGACATCATGCTGCTAACTCCTGACGTATTCCAACCCTTGCTGCAGTTTTCCCTGACTGTCAGCTTTCATAGGACTCCTCACAGACAGACTAACATATCCCAGGGCTACCGCCTCTGCGTGTGATTAATGGTCTGTAGAGCTCATAGACTGCTTGACTTGCTGGCTGGCTGTTGGCATATTTGTTTATGATACGTGGGTGTGAGTCTTTATATCTACCAGCATCCAAATGACGCCATGTCTTAGAATAAATTGGCAAACGATAAAGCTTATGAGGTGACAACTTTCTCCTGTGTTTTTACAGATTCCTTTTAATGCTGCAGTACAGATTTTTATAGCCTCTGCTGGTCCAAAAGTGTTTACACTGCTTAAACTCTTCACATTTTGTCACATTAGAGCGAAAGCATAAAACCGAGAGGGGAGCAATAACTCAGTCTCAGTCGAATTGACTGGCAGGCATCTGTTTACACAATTTTGAATAAATTATACACTTTTTTCATTGAAAAAGCTGCACATTGAAGTTTATTTGTCACCCCCAGTGAAAGGCTAACAAACAAAGTTACTACTATACATTTTTCTTTTAAAAAAGTGTTTGTTAAAGTGCTCAAGGATCATGGGTAAATCAATTAGAATAAAGTCTGACTGGGGTTTCTAACAACTTAATATTCTTTATCTAAACCCTTTCACTATGACTATGACTGAATTCATTTTTAGGGTTGTTATCCTGTTAGAAGGAGAAATTCTGCCCCACTCTTAAGTCTTTTGCAGCCTCTTGTAGTGGTTCTGCTGCAACAAATCCTGTTTTTGACTTGGAGGACATTTTCAAATGGCTTGTAGACCTCTTTTTTTTAACTCTTAGTTATTTTCAGATAGATTTTACCACAGTGGGTCTCCTATCATTCTTGGTGCCACTTGTTAAGTTATTTAACACCAGCTCCTGCTGTAAAAGAACTGTAAAGCCAAACTGAAATGGTTAGTCTCTGAGCTCTTAGCTGCCAGAATGGTGCTGGCAGATAGCTAAGCGGTGTGCTGTTTTCTACCTACACAGATAGGAAGTGAAGAGCCAGTTGTAGCGCTGGCCTTAAGACAGGGTTTGGCTGTTTGTTTGCTGTCTCAATACTTGTTTTTATCCACATCCAACCTTTTGCACAACAATAACTATGACTGTAAAACTCTAGTGCCCCGTCACCAGATCAGCAGAGCTATTTCCTCTGATCATCCTTCCTTTCCTCACACCAGAGCAGAGGTTTTCAGGCAAAGTCGTCGGTGACCGCTGCAGCGGGAGCTGAGCTCAGATGGAGACAGACAGCCCCTGCTGTGCGAGGTCTGATTTTCATCATGCTGGGGGATGATATGCCTTCTATCAAGCAGCACTAATGCCAGATCATATCACTCATCTAAAAGAGGCTGTCTTCCTATACTTTCATCCAACAACATCACCTCGTTTTCTCTCACTCCCCCTTCTTGTCTTGCTCTCAGTCAAATACCATTGAATTGAACTTTATTGATCTCACATTGGAGAATTTTTCCCCTCCATATAACCCATCCCTTTGGGCTGCCATTGGCGCCTGGGGAGCAGTGTGGGGTTAAGGGTCTTGCTCAGGGACCCAGAGTGCTGGCTGTGGGGATCAAACCAGGCACTTGCAGCCTTCTCAGAGCACAAACCCACTGCTCTAGCCACCAGGCCAACACTCCCCTAGAAGAGAGGACCAAATCAGACTGTTTCGTAGTTTCTCTTCTAATCAAGGTCTCTCTCTCGGAGTCCATGATGTCACCAAAGAGACTATTACTATAGGCATCTGCTTGGCCCCACATCAGGTTAGTAATGAAGCTCATTTTTAGCTGCCCTTTCAGAAAACACTTACCTCTGCTGCCTTCTAAAAAAAATGTACCTTCTCTGCAGTAAAAACACAACACTAGATGCTCTAGCTCCAGATAGGAATAATAAAAGCTTTTAAGTGGGCTGCTGTCTCGCCAACTGAGCAAGCCGCAGCTCTGCGCTGTTTCAGAGCTATTAACCTTCTGAGGAGTGAAGAAAGGAAGCTCAGTTTTAAAAACCGCTTATTGTGTCCTGCCAGCTTTAGAAGCCCTCAAACACTGGAAAGAAAAGGCTCAACTGTTTCAGGCCTCAGTGAACATGCGAGAGAGGCAGACAGAGAGTGAAAGAGATTAGACAACACACCAACATCTCACATTGAGCCTGCACACATAGCTGCCAGGACCAAGGTTGTTTTCTTTGTGCACAGCCAAGTCAGCCAGTGGACCTCTGGTGTGTTCCACTCTAAAAACCGGCAATGAATAAGGCAAAGAGAGAGGGAGAGAGAAGATTGGAGGGAATGGTTCAGTTGCTGTGTCGGTCATGGAGGCGAGGGATGGGTGTTGCCAAGAAAGATTAACAAGAAACACTGGCATCATTGTTGATATGGGTGTGATCTTCTTCCCACAATGCAACAGAGCTCCAAGTGGGCGTAGATTGGAGAGAGTCAAGGTCCTTACAGGGCTGTGCAGAAACACAAGACATTAAATCAAGACAGGTTGGAGGCAGTGGAACCATTAGGTTTTTTTTGTGTGTCATTTTGTACTAAACGTGAGAAAAGAAATAACACTTGTTCTGTCTGCTTTTAATGGGCAATATGTGTTTGCGCAGCACTTACAGAACCCGGCCAACTTCCACTCGGCTGCCACAGAGCTGCTTGACTGGTGTGGAGATCCACGGGCCTTCCAGCGACCTTTCGAGCAAAGTCTCATGGGATGTCTGACGGTATGAAAACTACAATTATGGTTTTGGTCGATTTTTTTGTTTTGTTTTTTTTTGCTGTTACTTTTTAGAAGATGAAGCAAAACAATAATTAGATGTGCATGATTGGGTGAAAAAAAAGTTCTGACAGTAGGTCCACATCTTTTGTTTTGGCTCTGTAGTGTTATTTTCTGCAAATTGTTTTAAAAATGCTTAATTTAAAAAACTAACTGGACAAGATATAAGCCTATATGGGATGCAAACATCAGTATTGAGGTTTTTGGAACAGTAGCTTTAATAAATAAAAGCATATGTTAAAATGCTTAGACTGTTATCGTACAAAATTAGGGCATGCAAGAACAGGCTATTGAAAGCAGAAAATGTATTAAACAAATAGTAAACAATCGTTCATCGCTAAAATTAGTTATAGTCTGAAAAAAAAATTATAAAATACCACAAAGGCAGTATGGGAAAAAATAGCATGAACTTTCTGCTAATATCCTAATGCATGACCTTAAATCGGTAAAGCTGTAATTAATGAATGTGATGGAAATCTGTCTTTCTTAATAAAAATACTATTACAAAAAAACAAATAGTGAACAGGACAGAAAAAAACTCAAATACAACCTCAGAAAAATGTTTTATTTTTATTTTTTATTTGGAAAGCAATTGTGAAACAGTGGCTAAGAGTGGTCACTTGACTGGAAGCTATTCAGCTAATGCTGCTTTGGTAAGTAACTGTTAGGAGAAGTAAAGGACAATCTATGAAGAAATGGCAGTGGGCAGAAGACCATAGAGATATGAAAGGGCAGCATTATGGGCAGACTTGCTTGAAGGAAGAATAACTTTTAAATGAAGGCATTGTTTTACAGAAAGCTAATGAGTTTTTTGGAGAGCAGAATTTATTTAGCAAAAAAAGTCTCGTAATAAATCTGGCTTCAAGTGCAGAAGGTTAGTAGTAGTAAACCAGTAATAAAAAAAAACTAGCCTACTCAAAAATTTAATCAGAACACATGCATCCATATAGATAAAACATGCAAAATGTTCCAACATTTAAAGTAGCAAAGTTAAAGCGACAATGAAATCTAGAGGTTTAATTATGTTTAATTATACTTGATGAGCATACTGTTTGTTTTTATGCTCAATGATGCTTTCCCCTTATATCTAATATTCAAAGAGAGGTGTTTTCATCTGGTGTCTTTATCAGCATAGCAGTGGTGGCTCTCTGTCTGTTGGCGGGTTGGTAGCACATGTGGTCACCTGCCTGCAAGTGCTCAGGTTTAATCGGTGATCAGTTTTTACAGCACTTTTCTCACATATATGTGCAAATAAAAGGGTAAACAGCTTTTATGCTCATTAAAAGTGAGATTATCAGCATAATTTTAGTGTAATATTGATAACTTTCAGCGTAAGAAGCATTGGTGCTGAACTGCTCTGCAAAGAGTTCTGGGGGCCAGAGCCAAAGCAGCCCGCTACGCTGAAATACCCTGGTGAAAATCCACCCTGGTTTACAGCACAGAGCAGAAGCTTGAGACACAAGATGTAAAAGTACAAAAAAAAGCTGTTTCAAACATTTTTAAACCTCCTTTGTGTCCCCCAAGAGTGACAGTATTTTCTTTCGAAGAGGACTTTTTTTTCCCACAATCTGTTGATCATAGTTATATTAATGAGCCAATCCATAAAAGATTTGTGAATATTTGCGAACCCTCAATATTAGGAGCTGTCACTCCTACTCGATCATCTTTTATCCCCATGGACACGTCCATGTAATAACAAATTTTTCCATGGGTGCTCTGATGATGTAAGTTCACTGTGCGGATCTCGTGGATCAGTCAAGCGTAAATAGGACTTCAGCTATTGGAAGAATAAATTATTGTTGAATGATCAGCAGAAGATGAGAGCATACTTAACTTACCTCTTACTATACATTTTATAATTTAACCCTGTAATGCCAAATGTATCATATTTGATACATACGGTTTCTGAAATGTTTTGCGTCTGACACCTTTTGCATAATCTAATGGTAAAAACTTTGCTCAAAATCCTATTGTACACAATCAGATATACCTGATAATAACAGAGGGCAGAAGACTACACAAAAAATAATCTTGACTTATCACATAGTAATAAATTATTAATATAAAAAATATATTTCTGTTTTTACTTTTTACATATTTTGTTAAAAGGCCAAATAAGGACTTAAAACAAAAAAAAAGTAATTTTCTGTTTTGTTTTATTCTTGGATCGGGCTTTAAAGGGTTAAGCATGTAGGATTACATTTTGTGGATTTATAGAGTTTATTTTCGTAAGAATAATATGAAATTAAATCAAAGAGCTATGACACAGAAAGATAAAGGTGCCAAATACACATCCATGGGGAACACCGGTGAAAACTGGCATACAATGAAATACTGTGACTGTATGTATTATGTATTATTTTACAGAGCTGCAAAACTTTCTAAATACCTTAACTCCTTTTTTGATGGAAAAGTCTAGCATGCAGCAACGAATTTGCACAGAACTCCAGTCTCATTTCTTCTGACATCCTGTTCAATGAACTTTGAACTTTAAAACTATAAAAAATTTATCAGAAAGGTGCACACATTTATTGCACACACTTATTTTACTTTATAAAGATTGAACTCTCAAGGTGTTGTTTCCTGCGGATGTGTTCTCTAGAGCTAACAGATAAATGCTCATTAACGTCTAAATCAAAATAAAAGCCTCTTATAGGGTGATAAAGAGCTGCACAATGGGGCCCGCTGCCGGGATCCCTCTCAGCATGGGGTTCCTCCATCAGCTAAATTGTTTCATTAGACTCTTAGAACAAACTGCTGCTTATCAGAAGAATTACTGCTTACAACAAGTCGGAGCATTCTTATGCGCGACCCTGCAAATCAAATGGTTGCCACATGTGAGGGTGCTTGTTCTGTTTGTGATCTTTTTCATGTGCAGCTCATCCACAGTGGCACCAGAGGTAATAAAAGTAACACAGCTGCTGTCATTGCTCTCAGCTTTTTTCTGATCTGACTGTAGCTTTTTGTCTGCCTTTGTGCATTCTGTCTAGTACGTATGTAAAGTCACTGGGTGCAGATGTGCTGCATAATTTATTACTGTGTTAAGACAAAAGTATAAAACAAATCTTTTTTTTTTTTGTCATGTTGCACAGCATAACCTGTTGTTTTTTTCCTGACAGGAGGTATGATATGAAAAAATTTACTGTCATCCACACTTCAAAACTAGCATTTCATTCAAATGGGGTACATTTGCAAAGACATCTCATAGTAAAGAAATCTTGTCTAGCAGCAGGAAGTTCTCTGCATTTAATCTTTTTGTCTTTCTTTATAGAGTTGCTGTTTGATTGTTTGATTTTTAGATATTTAAATAAGTGTAATGTGATACAAGGTCTTCATGGATTATTCCTCATTTTGACTCTGATTCCTTCTTTCAAAAATAGATATGGATCAATATTTAGACAATGAATGGTAAGTATGGTGGAGAATCTGTGATGCTGTGGGCCAGTGTTTCTTTCAAGGGGCCTGAGGACCCTGTCAGAGTGTAAGGTATCAGGAGTTATTTGAGTTAGGAGGTTTTTGATTTAAAAAAAAAGGGGCTTTTAGCCAAAAAAAGAAGAAAAAAAAATATATTATTTCAATCAGCAAGGTTAAGTCAGAAAACATGTGGTCAGCTCAAGATTAGGTTTATTAGACACAAAATCAACCCTCTTCTACTATTACAAACTAAACCCCCAGACCTAAATCCTTTAGAAAGTTTTTGTGATGAGCTGCTGAAAAGAAAACACAGGCTTCTGGATGATATTAATAAATGATGCAATAGGAAATGTTCCTTCTAGAGGCAAGCTTATGAAAGGATGTGCACTGCTAGTTTACTACACCATCATCATTGGACCCATTACAGGTTATTGTCAATCAAAAGATGACCAGAGGCAAAATAGATAGGATGTCCAGTTTCAGAAATGAGCCGGAATAAACCACAAATATGTCATTTGATATATTTTTTGACTCCAGGATGGAGAAATGAACACGACTCTGCGTGACCCACTAACCCTGCAGCGCTTACCCCAACACAGTTTTCACATTGACAGAAATATAGCCCTGCATGTGACGTCCTCAGAGGGAGATTAGACTGAAAAAAAGGCTTATGAGGTGAACAACTGTTAAATCCATGTCAAATCTATGCTAGCCTTTGTAGCTGGCCGTCTGCCTCATATAAACCATGGGGCTGACCCACTCATGAGGGAAATGAAGCGATTGACAGCAACTAGCTTTGCCTGTTTTTAAGCAGAGGTTGCATTGCTTTGGTTAAATAGACTGTGTTGATTTTCAAATGACTCCTAAAAATGTCCAAATCAATGTGGTACAACTCACTGGAAGCATCTAGTTATTGAGGATGATTCATTCCAACTATATTAGACAAAACGTCTTTGTTAGGGCTGTAAAAGGCTAATTTGTTGATCAAAATTTGATTTTAAAATCTACTAATCATTTAAGATTTGAAAAAGTTGATATTTTTGTAAAGTGATTTAGGATTCCTACATTTCCTGTAAGGTTTTCAAAGCTTAAAAATGGAAAGCCAGCTTAGTAAATAAATTAGACATGAACACATCATTCAGGTTAAGGTTCAAACTCAAAGAGACACTTCCTGATTTATGACTCTTCCCGCAGGTGGTGAGTCGTGTTGCCGCTCAGCAGGGTTTCGACTTGGACCTAGGCTACAGGTTGCTCGCTGTGTGTGCTGCCAACCGGGACAAATTCACTCCTAAGTCTGCAGGTAAGACCCCTCCAGCTGAACAAAAATGAAAGCGGATGCATGCTAATATATGTAACGCTGCTGAATTCCACAATAGGAACAAAATCTCTAAAAAAAAAATGTAGCCTTAACCCTATGCTTACTTTGTAGATTATGCAAACCAAGAGGTTTAGTTTGGACTTATATACGTTAAACGCTTAAGAGCAAATAAATGCATCTGTTTAAGTCTCCATAAATTTCAGATTTGAAAGTGTTTGATTTCTTTCCCCTCAACAGCAACCACAGACAACACGCAAAAAGCCCTGAGAGTATGATAATGTCAAGATATTTATAGCTCGCATTAAACATTAATGTGCTATTGAGATGAGCTGTCTGAGTGGTACCCTCAGAAAAACAGTCGTCTCAACACTTGCAGCCTGTGCAGCCCTACCTATATGTATGTATGTGTGTGTGAGTGTGTGTGAGCTGCCTGCATGCACACATGTGTAGCAGGGAAGAGAAAGCAGTAATGCTATCCTCAGACATTTATCTATCAAATCCAATTTCCTCCAATCCATACCTCCCCTCCTGTGCTCCTTCAGCAGCAGCCTTTTTCTTGTGCATTTGTCAAAGTGAAGCATGCAGAGGCAGAGTGGAGTAGCGAACGGGGAAATAAAGCGATGAATAGCTGGAGAGGTGTTGGTGGTACAAGCTGGACCCTCACTCCACCTGAAAGGGGCCTGACTCAGGTTGTCAGCTGCCGTATTAGAACAGATAGAAACCTTGCTTGCCTGCTTAGATAAGCAGAAGGTTTAAATATTTTGATTTAACTGTCTGATTTCTTTGTGGTGTTTGACAAGCCAATTATCCTACATGCACAAATCAGGAACTGTGTACCGCTCTGTAATCTTATCCTATTATTCTTTATGCAAGCTCCATTGTCGAACCAACCGCCGTTCAAAAGGCAGAAACGTATTGGCTTCAGCATTTTTCACTCACATTGTTCATGATAAGTACATTTACTAAAGCTGAAGATCTTCTTTCAGTGATGGCAGACAGCATCTTGTTGGGAGGAACTCTAAGTGCTCTGACAGACGTCAGTGCACAATATTGATTACTGAATTTCTCTGTCTGTCTGTGTTCTTGTGTCGGGATAATGTGATTGCTGTCCAGGCACGGCCCGGACTGGCTGGCTGGGCCCGTCTGACAGTCGGAATCATCGTCAGGGCTGCTGATGATTCTGGGATCTATTAGGAGGAGTTTCAGGAAAAGCTATTTGTGCATGCTGGACAAATGGGAGATTTAGTGTAATTATGCAGGGTCAGGGCAGAAGATATGATACAGGCATTTATTACATGAGGCAGACAGGCAGGCTGTGACTAAGGATCTCCCATACTAGGACTTTTCTCTTTGAAAACAGATAAGGCTGTATGAGGAGATGGAATAAATGTCGGGTGTGGGGGATGTTGTAGTGGACCCAAATGCAGAGTTAATGAAGAGGTAAAAATACAAAATCCATAGTCCAGAACCAATCGACAAGAAAATGCAAGAACCAAGAAACTAGGAGACACTATTAATAGACCTAAAGAATTACGAGGATCCAGCAATGTGTAACTGAACAGAAAGTCTATGTATACGGGAGACAGAAACAATGGGAGGACTAATTAGCTGATAGGGAGCAGGTGTAGACAGAAGTAACTAGAAGGAGTTCAGGGGAAAGGAAAGGACACTAGGAGGTAACAGAGAAAAACCAAGGAGAAACCACAGCATCTAAAAATAACTAGAAAAGAACTTAAATAAGGTTAAAGGTGAATAAAACCAATGACTACAAAATAAAGAATGGCCAAGGGGATAACTAGAGGATAAGAGAAGGGAATGGAGATAACTTAAGCCATGGAAAACATAACCTAGAGATAAGAGAAATAATAACTATACCTAAAACTGTACCAAGGAGTACATAATAACAAAGATGTTGAAGAAAAGAGATAACCAGGAATAGCAAAACTAAGAACAAAAATGATCTAAATCTAGATAGCATAGAACAAAACAAAGCGAACTTGAGAACCCAAAAAATACATAGTTAAACAGAAACAAAAGGTCCAAAATGTAAGATAATAACAATAAAGGGGAAAGTAATGAAAACATCTTTGGTTTACCTGCATCACTTTGATCATAAGGTTTAAAAGAGTCTCACGGGATGAGGTGAAAGAAAAGACTAAATGCTTTATGTTTGCAACTAAAAATCTGTAATGGGTGGGGTGTATTTTTATTTAACCCTATTTTCTCTAATAGAGTTCAAACAAATCTCTTCAGAATTCACCTCATTTTTAAATATGCTTCACATGTGATACACTTCAGACATAAGAAAAACACAAAAAACTGAACAGCAATCTAATTACACTATCCCCACCATAAAACATGGGGGTGGCAGCGTCATGCTGAGGGGATGCTATTCTTTAACAGAGACAGGGAAACTGGATTAACTAGAAATCCTGCACAAAAACCTGGTACAGGCTGCAAACAACTTGATACTGGGATTAAGCTTCATTACAAAGCTAGTCCTGCAATGGTGCTCAGCTACAATGAAAAACTTTACAGTTGGTTTTTGGGGGATTCTCTCTATCCAGCCTAATTACTGAACAGCTGTTTGATTAATAAAACTGTTTTTCTTAGCAGAAAAATAAATAAATAGAAACATATTACCAGACTATTACAGCTGATATGCGGCTCCATTTGGGCGCAAGTCACACCATATTTTGAAAATCAAGCATTTACTTCTTTTCACTTTGCAATTATGCACTGTTTTGTTTTTATGTGTCACATTAAATTTCTTCAAATTTTTTCTCTAACAAAAGGTCTTAATCCTTTTGCATGTTTGTGCATTCATGGGATGTGCGCCTGGTGCTGCTGCCTCAGCGTAATCTTCTTCCAGTCCACATGGCGACAGAGGCCTGCAGATCTGACACCTGAGAGCCCTGGGTAGGGCCAAGGTGTCTGGGATGCTGTCTTCCGGCTCTTCGGGAAAAGGATTAGTCAAACTAAGATCTATTTCCAAAACATTGAAAAATAAATGTTTTAAGCTACTTTTTCCACACAAAACAATTTAATAATTTCTTTATAAATCCAATGAGAAATTTAGTTACAGAACCAAATAAAATTGTAACAAGATAATACAAATTTTAACTGGAGCCTTATTTTTAAGATTACAGAAATTTACATTAGATATTAGAAAAGCCTTTAAAACCCTGCAGACCTTGCTACAGCTCTGAGCTTTGGACTAGTTTTGCTAACTTTTGGCTAAACTTTAAGCATATACACAACTCCCTTATACACTTAACATGTTATCACAGTTACAAATATGCAGTGAATGAAACGCATGTAAGACAGGCCATCGCTTCAGGAAGCTGATAAATGAAACCGATTACTGCTTTTCTCTTTAGTAGAAAAATGCTGCTTCATCTGCTTTACCTTGATAGAAAAAAAATTATCTGAAAAATCAACTTTCTAGTACAAATGACAGATTACACTTCTTTGCATGTCAGTTTTTCCTAGTTAGTTAAATTCAGGAGACTACACATGCCTGGTTCTGTGAAAGACAGAAAAGGCATCACCTCTGTGAGACCTGTCTTACCACATAGAGAGCAACAGCAGGCCGCTGCTGGTGAGCTGTCTGGAGATTGTGACCCTGCCAGTGAAGCTCTAATCTGAAATCAGCCAGTGAAGAGACTTATCTGCTTTTAGGCAATGTAATATTGGCGCTGTTAATTCTTGGAGTAAAGATACTCAGCTTTAATGCTGTTTATATTCTTGTACCTGTGGCTGGGAGCTCTCAGTCTCTCTAATCAGTGGTTGCTGAGGTTTGGTTTTACGTCGTCACACTGTGCTCTGCAAAGATGCCCCTTTGAAGATCTAACCGTCCTTTCATACATTCCTCTTTACATTTCATTCCTGATAGTCTGTGATCTGCTACCCAACAGATTTGCAGCTCATTAGAGGTTAGGCACGAACTAGGTGTGCAGCTGCCCTATAAATGCAACCTAACCCAACAGACTGAGCTGTTGGGATACTGTGAAGTTCAGCAGACAGCAAATCAGATTATCGACGTAATCTCTCCATGGTTTGACTGTTTCCTTCCTCTGTGAATATGCCAGCCTGTCATCAAGCTCGCAACAGTTGTCTTTATGAAGATAAACCTGGATTAAATAGCAAATCTGTAGCTTTTTTTTTGTTTGTTTTATGAGTTGTATGTATCTTGAGCTTGAATAGACATGCTCTAGATTGCAGGTGGCCCATCCGTAGATGAATACTGCTCTTTGTCATTGATAGTTCAGTTAGCTGGTATAGCTGCTTGCTGTGCTTCTGTGTTGTCTTACAAAAAAAGTAATATTTTTGACCCGGTTGTTATCCTAAATATTCATGGCTGAGAAATGTGCACAGTACTGAACTATTTTTCTCAGCATTAGTCACGACTTAACTTTATGTGATGAAGATTGAAAGTTTGGTGGGAACTGACACCAAGAACAAATCCCTCCCACACACCTGCAGCGCTACAGTTAGCTCTGCAGACAGAAGCTGTCAGACATCGGTCAGTGGACACGGTGAAATCTGCTTTAGTCACATCAGGAGAACAGCCATTCTGTCAGCAGTTATAGAAAACGTCCGGGGTGTGGCTGCAGCCCATCTCATGTCCATCCTTCGTGAAGGCTACATGAGAAAAGAAAATCAGCGCAGGTACAGTACTTCCATTAAATTCTTTGAGAAGAGGGTTCTCACACTTTTTCTGCTTCTAGGTGACAATCTAATCATCTATTACATCATAATACAACAAGGGATCAGCAATATTAACGTTATTACAATATTTAAAAATTTTTTTCCAATGATGAAACGGATAATAAGTACCGGTATTTAAAATTCATTGCAGTTATTATCAAGATCTTTGTAAGACAGAACCTCTGACCGTATGAATCCAAGCACTGTTCTGTAAATAAAGCAATTCCTCAGACCAATTACGTGATGCAAACATATGGATGAACAGTTTATGC